TGACAGAACACTGTAGTTGTTCAATAACTACATTAAACCACCACAATACAACTTGCGTAATAATTAAGCACACAGTGGCTAAGGTAAAGGCAGGGGTGGGATTCTACCAGTTCGCACCTATTCGCTAGAACCGGTTGTTAACATTCTAAGCAGTTCAGAGAACCGGTTGTTATAAGAAATTACTGCCCATATCCTGTAAGGAAGGCAGGAAGGAAACATTCTGGTGTTGCTTACAGAAACTGCCTCTCCATTAACCCTTATTACATTCTTGGCAGGACTAGACTTCCTGTCTCAGGAACATCTCTGGAGTTTTTTCCCCCTCCTTTGTTGGTACTTTGCTTGTGTGGAGTGACCAAAGTTATAATGGCACTGAAAAAAGTGACTTATGACCATTTTTCACACTTATGACTGTTGCATCATCCCCACAGTCATGAGAGGCGAAGCAAGGAGATGCATGCCTCGATGTGAGTGATATTGAGTTGGCCACACCCAACCAATAACATGACCAAGCCACGTCCACCCAGTCACATGGCCACCAAACCACGCCCACCAACTAAGCCACGCCCACAGAACTGGTTGTTAAAAAATTTGAATCCCACCCCTGGGTAAAGGTAAAGGTTCCCCTTGTACATACATGCTAGTCATTTCTTTAATGGAACTCAATATGATTTATTTATTTATTAGATTTGTATTGTCGCCTATTCGCCATGGCAACTCAAGGCGGCTTACAACATATAAAACCACAATTTAAAAACAATAAAACTCATAAAATCAAATAAATTAATATAGTAAAATTACCCCCACCCCCCCCCCCCCCCGCAACAGCAGATTACATGAGCCATTTAATGGGCTCCATCCTGCTCTGGGCATGTCAGGCCCGCTGGCAGAACCAGGTCTTCAACGCCTTCCGGAAGAGAATCAGAGTGGGGACCAGTCTAATCTCTGGGGGAATGATGTTCCAGAGGGAGGGAGCCACCACAGAGAAGGCACTTCTTCTAGGTCCCACGAGGTGCATCTTCCTCAAGGAAGGGACCCGCAATATTCCCTGCCTCCCCGTTCTGATGGGTCAGATAGATGTGACTGGCAAGAGACAGTCCCTCAAATAGCTTGGGCCATGAAGGGCTTTAAAGGTTACAATCAGCACCTTGAATTGCACCCGGAAGCAAATTGGCAGCCAATGTAGCTCCCACAAGAAAGGTAATACATGTACACATTGGGGTCTGCACAAAACCATGCGGGCATCTGCATTTTGCACCAACTGGAGCCTCCAGATGCTCTTCAAAGGCAGCCCCATGTAGAGTACTACAATAATCAAGACGGGAAGTGACTAAGGCATAATCCTAATGTGAACAGTGAAATTATTAATACAAATACATACATATATACTGTATGATGTATCCATTTGAAGAACTATAGAATAAAAACATATTCACAGACATGCAGTTGTAACAATTAGGAATCTTAAAAATTTATTGTACTGCTATTGAAGGACATAGAGGAATTTATGGTCAAATTAAGCTGAAATTACTTTTAGCATTAAATATTCAGTAACACTGTACCAAAGGAAGCATTTCATTATATTACCACTCTCTTCTGAAATTGCCTACTAACCCATACAACTTTTTTCACACCTTCATGACCTTTTTAAAGCAGTTCTTCTGGAGGGCCTTGAGAATTAACTGTACCAAACACCACCATTTTCTACAATGTTAACAGTATAAGTTATTGAACTATAAGAATTGAACTGAATCTATTTTAATTAATTTTTACATAATAAAAAGTTCTGTAAGACACTTTTAGTCTGTCAGATGGGAGACACATTTTAAAAATAAATAAAATAAATCAGAAAGTTAAACACTGTGATTTATTTCAGTTATATAATTAGGACTTTTTGTGTACATGAATTTGTGTGCCTTTAAGTTAGTCTTCAGCAACCACATGGCCAAATCAATATAATTTTCTAGGCAAATTTTCTAGGCAAAGTAATATACCATTGTCCTAAGACTAAAAAAAAGTGACTGGCCCACAAACATTCAGCTAGCTTTGTGCCTAAAGACTAAAATCCAGGTCCCTCATCTCCTAGTTCAGTGTCTTACCCACTAGTTCTCATAATAAACAGAAGCACTGTTTAATTAAGAAACTAAAAGATGTTAAAATTGCAATGATGCAAAAATACAAACACAAATATTTGATTTTTTAAAATCATAATTGCAAGTATTAGAAATATTATGAGAGAATTGTTACAATTATATCTAATTCTCTATAAAAGTCCATCCATGCATGAATTCAATTATATTTACTTAACAGTTTACAAAGTTACAGAAAGAATGGCAATGATAAATCACTTCACATTCCACTCTGCCCAAATAAAAATGTGAGCAACACACATTGGAACTTGATGCAGGAGACTTTATGCAATTTGACTTGTTTGTACAGTTTCCTTTTATTGGTTCATAGCCATTTCCCTTTAAAAAAAATATATCCTGTAGATGTCAAGAACCAAAAACAACTAAATCTGAAATTTCCTGTCACAAAACACTTGACAAATCTATGAATGTTTAATACTTAAATAAGATAATGAAATACAAGGTTAAATTTTACTCTATGATGTAAAAAATGCTTACTTGAAATTGTTAAGCATTCAGCATTTCTTCTTCCATATTAGATTTGGATCAACACTATTGTATCTGCCAAAGTCAACAACTTTCTCTATATAAAGTCATTCCAGTGGTTCTTGGAATTTAAATTTCTGATATCTGTGATATTCTACAATGATGTTGTTTAAAATGACCATTTATTAGGAATGTTAGTAATGTTACAAATTATAATTGCAAAGGTAAAAATGAGTACATATGATAAAAATCAGCGTAGAATATAAATAAAACCAGTAATAAAGAACAAATAGAGCTGTTAAATCCAACTTTGGCTCAAACCCTAAGCAACAATGTTTTCCCAGACATGAGGACAGAAAAGTCAAAATAAAGCTGATATAGAAAGTCTACACACCCCTATGAAAATGCATTTCTGAGATGTACAAAAAATTAGACCAAGAACACTTCAGAATGGTTTCCATCTTTAATGATCCCCAGGGATGCCAGGCCCTGCACCGCCTCCTATGCACATGCCTAGGGGGAAGGCCGGGGCAGAGCAAGGGTGGCCTCTCACTGGCTCCAAGCCGGCCTCGTAAATCTAAGGCTGACCACATTCTGGCCCAGATGGTTGCCACCAGGTTATAGATCAGCACCCATTTGGCCTGGGCAGGGCCAAGGCACTGCAGGCCGGTCCTTCATTGTTTTGAGGGTGGCTCTGCAGGCCAAATCTAACCACATTGCAGGCCACATTGAGCCACGGGCCTTGAGTTTGACACCCCTGCTCTAGGAATTAAAGGAACATGCTAATGGTATACCAAATCTTTATATCCCTATTGAGTCTATACAGCTTAATGAATATATGTCTTTGAGAAATTGGGAAAAATGGATAAAGTGCAAGATATCCAAGATGCATTTACTTTAATTCCTGCACTAAGCAGAAAGTTGGATTTGCTGATAGTATGTGACCACTTCCAAGTCCGTTTTTTTAAGCTGTTAGAATCAGTGATAAAACTGTGTATTGATCACAACATATGAATAAATGTTTTCCCATCTCCTTTTCAGACAAATTATTCAGGTAGTCCGCAACTTACAACCATAATTGAGTCCAAAATTTCTGTTGCTAAGTGAGATATTTGTTAAGTGAGGTTAACCCCATTTTACCTTTCTTGCCAAAGTTAAATGAATCACTGCAGCTGTTAAATTAATAACCCAGTTGTTAAGTGAATCTGGTTTCCCCACTGACTTTGCTTGTCAGATGATCACATGAACCCGGGGCACTGCAATCATTATAAATGTGAATCAGCTGTCAAGCATCCAATGTAAATTATGTAACCATGGGAATGATGCAACAGTCTTAAATATGAAAAATAGTCATGAGTTCCTTTTTTCAGCACCGTTGTAACTCTGAACTGTCACCAAACTGTTATAAGTCAAGGACTACCTGTATAACAAATATAGACTCTATACATTTATGCTACTTAATTCAGAATATATAAATTATATATTACCAATTATTTTGATAGTATTATTCCAGTTATCTTTTCATGCTAAATGAATTAGTTCAAATCCACAATTTCACCCTAATTTCTTAATTTCATATGCTACTGGATAACATAGAAAATTAGTACGCATATAAAAGTTGTGAAATTTAAAGACAAAAAGTTTATCAGCCACTTTGCTGGTAATGGTGAATGTGCTGGCCTACAGACCAGGATATGGTGGGTTCTAGTCCTGCCATACATGTATGAAAGTCTGAGTGATCTTGGACCAGACATACTTTCTCTCTACCCAGCACAACTCACATGGGTCTTTTTATTGTGGGGAAAATGGGAATAGGAAGGAATTATTATATATGTTTGACACCTTGAGTTTCTTGTAAAGGCAGGATTTTAAAAACCAAATAAACATACCAGCCATGTACCCTATACAAAATATAAAAATATATTACAAAAGGAGAAAAAATCTTGAGCTGCAAGAAGTATATACAAGGACAACTCACAATGGAGGAAACCAAAGGCAACTCGGACATATGGGTAGAAAAACACACACATTCTCTCACTCGCCCCAATTTGGTCGTGTTAACACTACTTCCTGTTAATTTCAAGGAAAGAGCTAAACACGCGCACAAGCCTCTGCTGGTAAAACTAACAGGAGGCGAGTTGGCCGCCTGCCCCGTCCACCCCATCAAGAGACGACGCAGAAATCTACGAAAATAAGGGGCGTGACGGGGGAAGCGGCGACCGAACCCTCTAGAGAGGGAAGACACCGTCTAGTCTCGCCTGCCCCAGGCGCCCTAGGCGGAGGGAAGGCCCTCCAGCGAACCAAGGAGAGGCGGCCAAAGCGGGGAAGCTCCCATGACCAAAAGAGGAAGGGAAAGGACGAAACCGCCCAGCCCTGGTGCTGCCATACCTCGCGAGCTATCAGGTTGAGGGCTTCATCCTCGGCCGTGGGCCTTTCCCGGTTGGGGATCCTCTTACGCCCCGCAATTCCTTGCGGCATTGTCCCCGCGTTCTCCATCGCAGCTGATTTAGTCCTCGGGCGTAAGGGATCAGACACGCCGCCGCGCACGCGCGCAAATGGTATAAGCGGCAGGGGGCGTGGCACAGCCGACGAACCTCCGCAAAAGGCGGTGCAAACCAAAGCGAAAGGTTTGCCTTCCAGGCAGGAAGAGAAGTAGAGTACTGATGTGAAAGAATCCTAGGTTAGCAGCGTCATCCTTTTAGGGTTTTTTTTTTTTTAACCCTTTCCAAATTAAGACCAACGTGCATCCTAAGAATTTCGCACCCATAATTTAGAGTCCAGTTAGGTATCTCTGAAGAGTCTCCCTGGATGAGGTCATGGTTGTCCCAAAGATGCTTTCCAAAAAGCAACCAGTCTTGTTTTTTTCCATGAAGCATTTTCAATTCTGACTGAATGGTGGGGAATGGTTTACATTCTTTGCAGTTATGTGGTCTTTAGCACTGAAGGTCGGTGGTTAGCTCTCTCAGAGGTTGAGGCCTAAATAAACTTGGTGGTTTATTTGTATCTTCAGGGTAACCTGAATCATAGTGCAAATAGGTATGGAACCTTTTAGAACTACTGAAAGGACTGTTGTACCCAATAAAAAGATAGTGTCATATCCTTCGCCTTCTATTGAAAGGGGCCTGTTCAATTTTAACATATATGGTCTCTCTCACCCCACCTTCACATCAGTATTCACTCTGGACAAAGAAATTCTAGTTGCCTTTTGAAAAGCACCTTTGGGACTCTAATTAATTGTACCAAGAGGAATTTGATCAAGGCACAGAAGTGATATCTTTCTTGCACGTCATCTAGCCAACTTTTTGCAGCCTGGATACCTTATATATTTCCATGGTTTTGTCCTGAAATAGAGTTAAAGACTTGGGCTTTAAATTTATACAAATAGCCCTTCTTTGGTCTTTTATCCAAAAGCTTATTGAAATGCAAAATGAATAAGGCAGTATGTGTTCACTCAAGAAATAAATAAATATATATATATATATATATAAAAAAATATAAGTTTAAGTTTAAGTTTAAGTTTAAGAATATATATATATCTTAAGTTTTCACGGGTACTTACATGTATGGTATTCAGCTTTGTTCGGGTATTTTCCCACGTCATTATAGTTGTGCTTTTAAAGTTGTAGCAACGTTTCAGCAGAATCTCATCTGCCATCATCAGGCTTCTGTATTGTGTTCGTCTGTGAGTCAGACTTTTACAGTTGTTTCAGTTTTAAATTTGGGGCAGCCTATTGCTGTGCCAGAATGGTTTTTTCTTCATCCTGATTGGTTGGGAGTCTTGGTCTGTGTTTATTGGTCTTGGAGTTTGCTGTGTTCTGCTTGATTGATGTTTCTAATATCTTCTGTCTGTTTTGTGGCTTTTTTTGTGTCTTGATTGGCTGGCAACATTGTGTTCCTGTATTGGAGGCTTTTAGTGCAGCTTGGCTCTGAGTAAATGGACGGCTATCATTTGTTAGGAAGCTAGGTTTCATCTGGGTGCCTGGTTGGGGTGTGTTTGAGCTGGAGGTATCAAGGGGGATCTGTTTGTGCCCAGGTGCTTGTCTGGCTAGTGGTGTGGAGATTTTTTTGTTTGTGAGTGCAGGCTTCCAAATGATTGACAGTCTGGTGGAATCATCTCTTCTATTCGTGCTTTCTGGTCTTTTTTCAATCTCTATGGCTTCTCTGATAATTCTGTGGCTGGGGTTTTCTATAGTGCCTAGGGTTTTGGTGCCATTGAAGTTGATGCTATGACCTGTGGCTTTCATGTGTTGGACTAGTGAGAAACTGTGTTCCAGTTTTTTTACTGCATTTTTGTGTTCATCCAGGTGGGTACTTATTCTTCTATTGGTCTGTCCAAGGTATGCGGCCGGGCATGATGCACAGGGGACTTCATATATGCCTTGGTTTTCCAAGTCAATTTTATCTTTGGGGTTTCTAAGGATGGCTGCTATTTTTCTGTCTGTTTTGAAGGCAGTCTTGATGTGATGCCTGTGTAGTATCTTACTAATTTTGTCTGTAGTACCTCTTATGTAGGGCAGGACAGCTGTTCCATAGGTCTGTTCATCTTCTAGGTCTCCATTATGTCTCAGTGTATTTTTGTGGATCAAGCTGGTGATTTTGCTTTTGTGGAAGCCGTTAGCTGTCAGTACTATAGTCAGGGTGCATAGTTCAGTCTTTATGTGTGTCTTGTCTGCCAGGTGTTTGGTTCTAGCAATTAGTGTATTGGCCACGGAGTTTATCTGTGCTGGGTGGTGGTGGCGCTACCTCAATGCCCAATCTCACTACCACCCAGCACAGATAAACTACAAAACAGACAGGACATATTAGAAACACCAATCAAGCAGAACACAGCAAACTCCAAGACCAATAAACATAGACCAAGACTCCCAACCAATCAGGATGAAGAAAAAACCATTCTGGCACAGCTGTAGGCTAGCCCCAAATTTAAAACAGAAACAGCTGTGAAAGTCTGAGTCACAGACTAACACTATACAGAAGCCTGATGATGGCAGATGGGATTCTGCTGAAACATTGCTACAACTTTAAAAGCACAACTATAATGACGTGGGAAAATACCCGAACAAAGCTGAATACCACACACACACACATATTAACTGGTTTTATATTACTTGCTGTACATTTGTGAAAACATGCAATTCTTTATTGGGAAATGCAATTTCAGCTAGAGAGGATTCAGAGAGAAAAAATAGAGGGAAAGACTTGCAAAATATCATAGAACTGGATGATAATACCTTTTAAAGTATTACCATGTAGTGTAGAAAGTATTAGCTCAGGCTAGGCCATGTCCACCCTATCCCATGAAAACCTCAGGCCATCAAAGATGCGTTCACTCTCTCAACCTAACCCATCTTACAGGGTTGCTATTGTGGGGAAAATTGGAGGGAGGGGTATTAGGTAGGCCTTGAATTATTTATAAAAATAAAAATGGTGTAAATAAATACATAAAGTGGAAAATAAATAAATACACAAATAAATAAATAGCAGCCACTTTTAGAAACTTAAGTAAAGCTGAATATGAATCTATTAATAATATTAAAAATGTCTTTTAGATTCTTTGACATTTTTCCATACATATCTTCACCATGGTTAGTATTATATAAATAATTATATAGTTTCATTTTCAGATTGTTTTTCTTTGACATACGTTACCTGGCTAATGTGACATTTTATTTAGGAAAATAAAATTTTATTGTCCTTGTATAGATAAAATAATGGAAGCTTTTTTATGTATATGGCATGTATAATAAATCTGTGGAGCAATTCAGATTCTGTTCCAGAAAAATTCTTTACAGTATGTCTGAATGTAAGCCTATGTGACTGCTTAAAGCACACTTCTTTTCTCAGGCCAGGCAAGGCCTTATGTGTTCCTCAATAAAGACATAGTCATGTTAAGAAAATGAAGACTGAACCTATGTTCATACTCTTTCATGTTTTGAAGTACTTCTTGGGAACCGAATTCAAAGCATTGTTAATAAATATATGTTAATAAATAATATGTTCAAAGCATATATATATACATAATATGCGGGGCAAACAAAGCAGAGGTAGTATTCAGCAGGTTCTGACCAGTTCTGGAGAACTGGTAGCAAAAATTTTGAGTAGTTCGGAGAACCAGCAAATTCCACCTCTGACTGGAGATTTTACAGTAACCTTCCCCTGCCATGCCCACCAAGCCACACTCACAGAACCTGTGGTAAAAAAAGTTGAATCCCACCACTGAAACAAAGTACCAGTATATTTCCATACAGTATTTGTGTTGTACTTTGTTCCCAGAGCCAAATTTGGTATCTTAGCTCCTGTGCCACTATTATTTTAAATCACCTACTCGGTTGACTGAGTATTTTGTTTAAAGGGCACTAATGATTTATTTTTAATTTATAAGTTTTTCAGCCAAGTCCACATTAAGCAATATAAAAAGCAACAGTTATTGCTAATACAATAATAAATGCAATAACACAAAAAAATCCTGTCTAGTTCTTACAATCTTTGCCATATTTTATTATTTTTTATTTTGTCTGTTGTAGTTTTTGAAAATGTTTTTATTTCTTTTCTTTTTTTTTGTAAATTTTTTATTGATTTTTAAAGACAAACATAAACAAACAAAACATAAAAACATTAACCTTTCTTCCATGAGTATACAAGCAGTGTGCCGGTTGGTTTACAAATTTTTTGTGCATCCATTTCATAGTCATCAATTACAGTTACATTGTATAATAACTCATATTCTCAATCAAAAATTAAGTACCCTAGTATCATTATTAATCACTTGACAATTTTATTCATTCATATTTTGCAACATAACTATAATTTACTTAGTATCATTTTGTAACAATTCATATAATCTTCCCGAATCTATCGTAAAAGTTTTTTTATAGATATAGTAAAAAAGAGAAAAAAAAGTACATCTTTATATATTTATTATTTTCTAAGAATCTACATATTTCATTACTATATTTTATTGTCTAACCATTGATAGAAAAGGTCCCAAATTTTATAAAATTGTTTATCCTCTTGTTCTCTAATTTCAAATGTCAATCTACTCATTTCAGCACATTCCAATATTTTCTTAATGATTTCCTCCTGTGATGGTGTTTTCTCATTTTTCCAGTTTTTAGCAAATACAATCCTAGCCGCTGTTAATACATTTACAATCAGGTATTTCAAGTCTTTACTATATATTTCAAGTAAAATTCCCAATAAAAATATCTCTGGTTTCAAATCTATATGCTTTTTTGTCATTTTTTCCAACCACGTGTGGATTTTAGTCCAATATTTTTTAGCATCTGCACAAGTCTTCCACATATGGTAATATGAGCCAGGTGTCTGATGACATTTCCAACATTTTTCGGATTTATTCTTGAACATTCTTGCTATTCTTGTGGGGGGAAATGCTACCTGTAAAACATCTTATACAAATTTTCTTTATATGCTGTTGACATTGTCATTTTATAATTTTGAGTCCACAATTTTTGCAATTTCTCTAAATCAATCCCATATCCAAAATTCTTCCCCCAAGCAATCATAGTTTCTTTAACTTGTTCATCTTC